CTAATCAAAAGTTGATAAGTAAAAAATTGCGATGATCAATAAAATACCTTTAATCAAGAAAAAATTTAAATATAAATTAAATGTGAATGTAAAAAATTTAAATATACTACTAAATGTAAGTAAAAGATAACTACTTTATTAATAGTTGAAAAATGCTTCTTTAAAATGTCATCTTTTTTTTAATCGCAGGTACATTTAAAATTATAAAAGCTTAAAAAATATGACAAAAATTGACATTTTTCGAAAATTTCAAGTTTTACTACAAACTATTTGTCTCAGATCAATATTTGATCAATAGAAGATCAAAAAAACAAATTTTCATCAGCACAATTAAAAGACATATTGGAAATTCATGAAAATACACTTATCAAGATATTTATATATTAATGATAGAATTGATAAACTTGAAAACAAATTAAATACAGTAATTGAAGAGAATAAGTAATTAAAAAAGGAAGTCGGCGAACTTGAAAAATCTGTTAAGTTTATGAGTATTAAAAAATACTTAGTTGCTGATCATCGAGCACCTAAAGCACCAACAACTAATGGAAATGAAAACGATATGAATAATAAATTAGCAGAACTCGAAGATAGAAGTCGGCGCAAAAACTTGAGGTTTAGTGGGATTGTGGAAGACGACAATGAAAGTTGGGAAGACAGTGAAACGAAAGTAAGGGAATTTTTAGATAATAAACTTCATTTAGAAAGAAACTTTGAAATCGAAAGAGCCCATCGAGTTGGGAAAAAATTACTGGGTGATAATAAGAATGTCAGGTCTATTGTCGTCAGATTTCTATATTATAAAGACAAATCTACGATATTAAGAAAACACACAACAATGAAATTATGGACTGATAAAGTTTACATAAACGAGGATTATAGTGAACGTACGCTGGGATTGCGAAGAAAACTCCTAACCGAAGCAAAAAAATTGAGAGCGAACGGTAAGTACGCTGAAGTCGCATGTTATAAATAAATCACGCGTTTATTATCATAACAAAAATAAAATGAATTCGAAAGTTTGAAAACCGAAACCATAAATTATGAGTTTTATTTCTCTAACTTTATTCAAACTAATGATTTTTTTTATTAGACAATGAACCTGATCCTGATCAAAATTATTTTTCTGAATCTAATGCTTTGCAAATTACATGCAACTACTTTTATACACATGAAATTAAAGGATTTCTTGACCAAAATAAAATTAATGCAATTCACATTAATATAGGAAGTTTAAATTTTTTGTAATTTTATTGACGAAACTTGTTATATTTTAAATATAATTTGCTTAACAGAAACTTGGTGCAGTTCGAATGACGTAACAGAAACTTGGTGCAGTTCGGATGACGTAAATTCATTTACAAATTTCGAACTACTAGGTTTTAATTAAGTTTCATTACCACGAAAAACAATAAAGTGTGGTGGAGGCGTTCTTATTTATTTTAGAAATAGCCTAATATATATTACCAGGCATATGAGCATTTCTGATGTCGATAAAGAGGTTTTAACAAAATTTCAACCAATAAAACAAAACAAATTTTTGTAAGTTGATGTTATCGCCCACCTTCGGGTGAAATTAAATGTTTTAATTTATTTTTATGAAATGATGTTATTAAAAAAAGTAACCACGAGAAGAAATTTATCTATTTATTGAATGATCTAAATTTAAATTGTTTTCAATATCACGTCAATAATAACATTTAAAGGTTTTATAATGACATATTTGAAAATGGAGCAATTCCTTTGATTAACAGCCTACAAGAATTACTCAATCAACTTTCTCTTTAATTGATAATATTTTAATCACGGATATTTTTAACGAATCGTTAAAAAAGGGGATAATTAAAAATGACATATCTGATCACTTTCCTATTTTCTTTTCTATAAATGTTGATACAAGTTTACTATTCAACGAAACAAGAGTTTTTAAAAAGCGCAACTTTTCAAATAATAATCTTGAATCTTTTTAAAAGCAATTATCTCTAATTCATTCGAATAGTATTAACTCTTCTGATGATGCAGACTTAGTTTACAACTCCTTTTTTAAAATGTTTTATGATATTTACAATACTAACTTCCCTGAAGTTAGTTCAAATCTCAAAGCTAAAAGTATTAAATCGCCCTGGATAACAAAGGGTTTGCGTAAGTCTTCTAAAATCAAACAAAAATTATACATTAAATACTTAAAAACTAAAACAAATCAAAATAAAATTATATAAAAATTACGCTAACCTTTTTGATCGTCTAAAAAAAAAAAAAAAAACTATTACATAAATTTACTTGATAAATATAAATTAAATTCTAAACGCACGTGGTTTATAATAAGAGAAGTTACTGGCAGCAAAAAGTTCACATCTCGGTCTCTGCCTAATACAGTTAAACTTAATAACGATTTTTTATATGATAAAAGAGAGATTGCGAAAGAATTTAACAAAATTTTTTGTGTCTGTAGGACCAAATCTTGCCAAACTAATTCCTAAATTTAACACTTTAATAAAAGACCTAAGTTTCCAAATAAACTCTTACCTCAACTCTTTTGAATTATCTTTTGAGGAGCTTGAAAAACCTTTTAAAATGTTAAAGTGTAAAGCAGTAGGTCCAGATGGTGTGAATGGCAACATTATTATAAGTTCATTTGATGTCATAAAATATATACTTTTCAAGGTTTTTTTAATATCAATTAAACAGAGAATTTTCCAACAAACTTTAAAACTAGCAAAAGTAATACCAATATTAAAAGGTGGTTAAAAACATTAGTAACTACATTAAAAACATTAGTAACCATCGTCCGATTTCAATACTTTCAGTATTCTCTAAAATTTCAGAAAGACTTTTGTACAACAAAATTTATAACCATCTTACTATTAACAATTTATTATACAGTAATCAATATGGGTTCCGAAAAAACAACTCTACTGAAAATGCAATTCTTTAATTTACTAGAAATATTTTTGACGCATTTGAAAAAAATCAATTTATATTGGGTATTTTTATTGATTTTGCTAAAACCTTTGATACTATTGATCTCGAATTTATTTTTAAAAAGTTAAAATGGTACGGAATATCTGGAAATATTTTAATTTGGCAAAAAAGCTAGCTTAGTTATAGAAAGCAGTTCATTTTTCGGACGAGAACGGATCATCTAATTTGTTAAATGTGGAGTGTGGAGTTCCTCAAGGATCCATTTTAGGACCTCTATTATTTTTATGATACAATAATTTATCTAAAGCTTCTAATCTACAACAATTATGTTTGCTGATGATTCCAACTTATTTCTTTCTCATAATAACATTATACAACTTTTTAACAACATGAACATTGAACTAGTAAAAGTTTCTGAATGGTTTAAATTGAATAAATTGTCATTAAACATTGATAAAACTAAATGGATTCTTTTCCATCCAAGCGGTAAAAAACACCTCCTGCCTAGTAACTTGCCTTTTATTCATACGGATAATATAATAATTAAAAGAGTTTTAGCGACAAAATTTTTAGTTATCTATATCGACGAAAATTAAACATGGAAAAACCACATTGCTAACTTGTGCGGTAAAATTTCAAAGAGTAAAGGTATTTATACGAAACAAGAAGCCTTCTTAATAAACGTATCTTAATTCAATTATATTACTCTTTAATTTATTGTCATATTGACTATGCAAACCTTTGCATGGGGTAGTACAAACATAGGTAAACTTAAACCTCTCTATCGGCAACAGAAGCATGTTACACGCCTTTTAAATTTCAAGCTAAATGTTTTTAATATTCTTTGTTTTATGTATAAATGTAAAAACAACTTATCGCCTGTTTCTTACCGCGACTTGTATTTGCAAAGAGATATAAATAAATATATTTTAAGGAATGAAAATTTAATTAGACAATCATTTTCAAAAACTAATTTCGGAAGTTTTTTTATTTCATTTCAAGGACCATTTTTATAGAATAATATAATTTTAAATACTACAAAACACACATCTCAAGAACATAAGTTTGATTCTTTTAAAAAAAAATCTTGAAAATCTCATTTTTTCCACTGAAAATATACTTATATATTTTAAAAACGAACCTCAATTTTTGTGCGTATTTGTAAATTTTTAATATTTGTTTTTTTACTGGAAGCTTATTGTAATAAGTTACATAAAGTTTATGTAAATACGAATTTACATAAACATGTTGAATTTTACTGTTTTTTGAACATATTTATAAGTTGACTTTATTTTACTTGCATGTACTTTGTTTTGTTTATTAAATACCGCAAAAGCTTTACTCCTTTCAACGAATTTTTTATTTGTATTTTATTTCTTGTATATAATTGAATAAATATTGTAATAAATAATAATAATAAAAAAAATATTTTTTATACATTTTGTCTTTTTACATATAAGAGCCAAGTTTTTCATGGCGCACAAAATTTTTTTTTTGAAACACCCTAGTGCGTACTCTGCGTACCTAGAAGGGTTGTTTAAAGCATACAGTTGCGTACATAAAAGGAGGAGGGGGCCTAAACTTCTGGTTTTACTGCGTAAGTACCTTATAAATGCTCCCTTTAGTTATTTGCTATACCTATACATATTGCTTAATTGCTATATCGTAACATATTTGTTTAATGAAAACACTCTTTGCCCGTGCTTAACAGGGCCGACGACACCGGGGGGCCAGGAAGTCCTTTAAAAAAAATTTGGGGGAATTACTTTTTTTCTAAAGGACCTTATTTTTTTTTTTAAATTCTAGATATAGAAGACTTTTAATGCCCCCCCCCCTACTTCGAAACCCCTGTCGTCGGCCCTGCTTAAGAATAATTGACAAATTTTTGAAAAAATATGTAATGATTTAAACTGTTATTATCGTTTTTTTAATTATGTTTTAAGTTCACTGTTTTTTTGCGAACGAAAACTTACGTTTAGCAGTTTTAGTTTTTTTAAAGTTTTTAGGTATAGTCTAAAAAAAGTTTTGTGTAGAAGATAGTTTTTTAATACAAACTTTGTTGGTTCAGTTGATGTTACCTTTAACTCTTCACAACTTTCCGGAAATCCTCCATTTAAAGAAACAAGCATAGCATAGCTGTAGTTATGGTTATCATCCAGGTCTTTGATAAATTTATCTCTTTCTTCTTTGGAAACTGAAGTATGCTCTTTTAAATTCTTGACTTCAAGCATTCCATAAAAATTACTGTTTCGGATTTTTACAACAAAATCTCCTTTATGTTTTTGGTGAGAAACTCTCCGATAATTAATGAAACTGTCACCACTCAATAGATTTTGAAAAAAATTCTCCCCATCATTACCCAGCTCTAAAAATAAACAATAATTTATACATGACTTATACTATTTATTAAATAGGGCAACACTAATTTACATTTCTACCCAATGTTTTCGTTAAGGTGGTAGATACCCATTCAATCTATTTTCTTTAAAAAACACAATAGAGAGATTTTTCTTGTTTAATAACTTTTTTTCCTTATAAATAAAAAAGTAAAATTTCTAAAAAGAAAGAAAAATTAAATTTAATATCATTAATTAGCATAATTAGGTAAAAAAGGACCCCATAATGGTACATAGATAACTCCATATTGCATGGTCCGATTGTTATCAAATTTTGCAGGTAGCATTTATGCATGGGTGTTAACAAAATGTATCAAAATGGTAAAAAAAGTTAATTTAAAAAATGTTATGATATTTTTACTAAGGTGTTAGAAATTTATGATAAAAAAATGGACTTGACTATTTATAACTTTCGTTGACCTTGCAGAACTATGCTGATTTTGGTACATTTTTTTGTCACTAGTGCATTGAACATACTGTGAAAATTTCAAGTCAATTTGAAATGTAGAATTCGAGATATCTTTGTACCAAGTATGAAAATTTAAATACAGAGAAAACGATCGTTATAAAATATGTTTTCAAATATAACTAAAAAAAGTTATATTTGAAAACATAACGCTAAAAAAAAACTAATATGCTCCAGATATATAGGAATCTACTTGCTCTGTTTCCTTTCCTTTGTCAGAGAAATCTTTTTCTATAGCTCAAAGTTTTTTTCTTCTTGCATGTCCTTGTTTGAAAGTTTTTTTTTAATACTCTACTTATGTGAGTCGCATTCGATTATCGAATGCGTATCGGATACGTTCGTAGAATAAAGATATACATGAATAAAGATTCATGTGCTTTCCAGTATGAATGCCAAGTTTTAAAAATACACTAAAAATTCTAGCTGTTCCTTCATTTAACTCTAAAACTGCAGATGATACACCAATTTCAAGTATTGTTTTACTAACATAAGTTTGTTTTGGGCACTTTTTCCATATAAGATTGTTTATTGATTCGTTATTGTTTTGGGTTCCACCATGCAAACACTTAATTAACAAACTATCGGCACTTAAGTCTATAAGTATTGATCTAATTAAAGCACATATGGCTACAGGTAGACTCAATTTTACTTTATATCAGTTTTGACCTGTAACTTTGTCTGCTTGCCATATACACCAACTGGTATCACTTCTTGGACAAAACTTATGTCCCTCAACCGGGTCGGTTATGTCTGAATTATGGTAAAGAACAGCTCAAATACATTTTTTCATAACATAAATATTGTCACAGTTTTGTCGAATGGCCATTCCATAGTAGTTCTGAAGTTTACAGCTTTATCAGTGAGTCTCTTTTTTCCCATAATTTTATTTTTTTTGTCAGATAAATGGATACCTTTTTTTTACTGTCGCAAATTCCTAAAGCGTGTACCCAATTGCTTTTGTAAATGTCCAATACATTTTTTTTTATCAATAACCACATTGTCACCATATGATTTAAAATTGATTTCATCATTAAAAGATGAAGTATCTCTGTCTCCAATGTATGATGTTTCTTGAAACTTATTTTTCTTGATTGATCTAGCAAACATCTTCACCGCCCCCGCAGATTTCATTACAGCAGAAGCTTTATCATGATTAGCTAAACATTTGTGATTCAAATTTCATTCATTGTGTTCACAATCATTTTTTCTTTTACCCCAATACTGACAACCTTTACATGACTTTTCATATATAACATATGTATCAATACATTTTCCATTTTCTCTTGACATTAGAGTCACAACACTATATATTGATGCATGTCCTCGTTTCTGCCATGTCCTATCTATAGATACTTGACAGTTAGTAGCAATGTCTGTAAGACTCCCATTGAGTATGATAACAGTTTCTTGTACTGCTTGGGAAGTGGATTCAGCAACAGCTTCAGTATATTTCTCATGTAAAATTTGATTTTTATTACTGTAGTTTTTTTTAGTCATTGGATTGGGCATATTTAAACACCGTGCAAACGTTTGAATTTAGGCAAAACCTTTGCCAAATTCGCGATATCCTATAACCATTCGAAGATTTATAGTTGATACTCCTCTAAGGAAAATGGAGAGATTCGATAAGGAGAAAAAAAATATAAAAAGAAAAGAAAAAAATAGTAATTAAAAAAAATAAATTTTTTTGTGCTCATCATTAAGTCATAAAAATCACTGATTTAGGTGTTTTCTACTTAAAATAAGTTATTTTTCTGATTAAATTTGAGTTCCTCGATAAATCCTTCATAAGAATCAATGAAAATATTTTTTTTGAAAAAATGTTAAAAAAAAAGGGATCTATTAGCTTATTGAGTATGCTGATCAAATTTTATATAGAAAAAAGACCTGAAAATAAAAAAAAAAAAATCTAATTTGACGTTGAAATGTTTAAAAAAATCACCAAATACGCAAACATTTTGCGACCTCAGAACAACAAGATTTTAACTCAAAGTAGTGAGTTCTATTGGTTCGTTGTTGTTCTGAGGTCGCGATTTGTCCATTTATTGGACAAATGTTAGTGTTTTTCAAACACGACTTTAAAAACATTAAAAACATTAACAACATTAAAAAAAATTAAAAAACCTAGATCTTAACCTGAAAATAAAGAAATATTTTTATTGCGAATTTTTTTAAGATATGGCTATTTATACATACTTGTACGGACGTAGTTGGCCATTTTTACATATATGCATTTTTTTTAATTTTTTGTACATGCATTGATTGAGATAAATAGATTGAAATAAAATAAATTTGTGTACATATATCAACTGATTTAAATAGTTAGAACATGCAGGGATTGTAGATACCTTGGGGTGTGTGTTTGCATTAAGAGTGCCTTCCATAAATAAATACCATATTTTGCATGTATTTTCTATTTAAGTCAGTCGATGTATGTACACTCACTGCATGTTTGTCCTATTAGTCAATGTATATGCAAAAAATAAAAATATACATATCGTAAGTATAAAAAGCCAATTGCGTACACATAAAGTATGTATAAATAGCAATATCTTTTTTTTAAACTACATTATTTATTTTTTTTATCCAAATTTTATATTTCAAAATTTTTATGAAAATAAAACTTACATTTACATATTACATTCATACTGAAAAAAAAAATGGCGGCATGATTGAAAAAAAATCTTGTCAAATTAAAAAAAAAGGGCAAATTTTTATGCATTTTTTAACAAGTCAACATCAAGTTAGGGAATTTTTTCTTTTATTTTCAGATAAATGTTTTTATGTAAATCTTGATCAACATAAAAATCTATATCATTATCATTAAAAAAAAAAATAGGTAAAGGGGGTAGAGAAGTAAAACTTGCGCCAAACATACGACAACTCAAACATAACAATAAGCATAAATAGCTTTAAAAGAAACACATAGTTGTGTTTTCATAAACTATTAAACGTAAATGTATATCAATTGCTTTATTTTTTATATGGACGGGAAAATTCCCAATAAACTAGGGAAAGTTGGGGTACAGTGGATTGAGGGGCACAGTGAATAAGAGGCATTTTCTCAAAGATTAGGGGTGGAATACAAGAAGCAAACTTGAGTCAAGTTCGACTTGAACTTACTTTGTAACCAATAGTGGCAGAGTATTTTTTGAGGGGAAAACTCATACTCTGTCCCTATTGGTTGCAATGTAAAGTTCAAGTCGAGCATGACTCAAGTTTGCTTCTTGCATTCCACCCTAGAATTTCGTTTAACTTGATAATATAATCGTTTTATATGCTCGTATATCAGCAATCTTTATTCATATTTGTTACCACATAATTTTTAACTACCGGTTTTTGGTAGGTAATTTTTCTTTTTAGCTAGCTAAAGTAAATTTTCCTACCTTCCTTTGTTTATTATGGAGATGTTGGAAATAGTTTTAAAAGTTGAAGTTTCTCATTCAGATTGTTGATACTTATTCTTCCTTTTAGTAGTTTTTCCTTTAACAATACTCATGTGTCCCAAGAAATGAGACTTAAACTTAATTTGTTATGGTGGGGCACAGTGAAAAGGGGTACAGAGAATAGGTTGATTCACTATACCCTATTCATGATCTTAAAGGTTGAATTCATGCATTTTTAACAAACAAACATGAAAATGAATTTAATAATTTTAAGTTATAAATAATATTATTCGAATAATTTTTTAATTTTTAAATATTTTTAAATATTTTTTTATCAATAAATTTTTTTTTCATTTTCAATTTTTAAAATGTCTATTATTTCAATTTAATACTAATCTAATTAATAAAAGTATGCCAAAAGTAAAGAGTACAGTGTCTTTATTCCCTCAGCCTTAAAGTTATTTGACTATGCCCTTATTCACTATCATTAATTCTCGGCTGTGTTCATTTATTCATTGTGCCCCATCACTGGGGCACATGGAATCACCTAACACAACTTACTATAAACCTTTCTGCAAACCGTTTGATAATAAATATTTTAAATATAAATAATAAATATTAAGCCAGAAATTTCATCAAAACCGAGTTTATAGTAAACAACACTATCATTAAAGTTTTTAAATGTAAATCCAGGGAGGGAGTGTTGTTCTGTCAAAGAACCAGGATTATTTTACCAACTTCTTGAAAACTGTACAACTCATTTTTTCCAAATTACTTTAACAAAAATTCTTTTTAGGATAACTTTAGCTCCCTTACAGTCGCTAATGCTCTTATGTATTTGAGTTGTTGAAATAGGAAAAAAATTCTATATCAAGGTGCATCTTTTACCATACAGTAAGCGTCGCGGTGGATAAGAGAGGGACGGGTTGTGTTTAAAAAAATAATTAAAATTTAAAACAAACAAAAAACTATAGTTTAATATAATTAGTACACTAATTTATTAAATTTATATATAATTAACATACAATAGTTTTATTTAAAGTTTGTGAGTCAAGATAGGTTAGATTTAAGATTGTTTTAACTCATAAAACTTTTCCGGATTTCTCGAGCTTTTATT